GTCTTTAATAGCACATGCCTCTCTCTCTCACACACACTCTTCTCTCTCTCTGTCTCTCTCTCTCTCTCTCTCTATATATATATATATATATATATATATATATAGGGCGGGTTCTTGATACCAAAATAAGATAAAATGTCCATATATACGTCCAAAAGACAGACTATCGTTGTGCCAGCAACTTATAACAAATTTTCAAAGTGTCCTCCATTTGCTTTTATACACGCACGCAGCCCTCTGATCACTGACTGCTGGACTCTTTCAAATCTTTCCACATGGTGTTGAATGGTCTTGCAGGCATCCCTGACACGCTGATGAAGCGCAAAAACTATTGTTTTACGTGGTTTCACACATAAAATACGATGGATTGTGGTCTGGAAAACGTGGAGACCATGAAAACGGTCCCCCCTATCTATGCATCTTTCATGGTAGATTTCAGCTAGTGCATCGTGAACAATGTGGCTAAAATATGGTGAACCACATGCGTCTTCACATTAGCAGGGGTACATCCTCTAAGTCGAGAAGTATGTCCGGAATAAAGTCCCTTGAGTATTTCCTGTAAGACGTGTTGGGAGAATATATGGACCTACAAGACAGTCACCTACAATTCCAGCCCACACATTAAACTGATGTTTGTGTCTATCCTGTATTGTACCATCGGCATTTCGATCCGCCCACAATGGTTGGTTGTTTAAATCTCTTTCAAATGTTGCTTCCTCAGTAAACAGTTACTGAAGAAACAAACAACGGGTCAGTAATTTGTGGTCAGTGGTCAGAGAGCGAAAGACCCTGCACACGTTGCCAATGATACGGATTCATGAGCTGCTCTTGAAGTACCCTCCATGACATGCTAGTGCCACTTGACGTGTCCTGATACCTGGATCGTCTCCGACAACCTGTAGAATATGTTCTTATTGGTCAGTCATACGAGCGGATCTCAGAGTTCCTCGATCCCTAATTTGTGGTGCTACGAATGCTGTCTCAGCAACGCAACGATAAACAGCAGTAAAAGTTGGATGAGTTGGTCTGGAAACGCAATCTGTTACAGCCGTGCAGCCTCGCGTCCATTACCATTCGCGCGGCTGCATGTAAAAGTCATATCTACCTGCTCACGATATGAATATCCTTTTCTTTCTTTTTATGCGCCATCTCATTTCAGGACGTAGGCGATCATTGCTCTTTACCTCCCTCTATCCCTTCCAGCTTTTAAAAAGTTCCTTCCTTCTGCTTCCTCCCCCAGACCACGTTGTGTCATCCACTTGCTTAATCCTGCCAGGTATGTCACGCGTTGTTTTCTCTTGTTTCTCTTTCCCTCTAGTCGACCCATGAGTATCAGATTCTCCAGGCCCTCCTTCCTCATTATGTATCCTAGAAATTCAGCTGCCTCTTCCTTATATCAAGTATATATATTAGACTACGCCATTGATCTACACTTCTTACCTGCGACTACGACCCGTACCAGTCGATTACTGCTACCGTATTCTACTTGGTTATAGTAGCCAAAACCACTTAGTTACTTTGTTCAAATATATCCCTTTCCCGGACATATCACCTTCTTTCCTCATTATGTTCCTGAGAAATTTCATCTGTCGCTTTCTGATATTAAGTTTAAGTTTTTTTATTAATATATTTTCCCCAAAAGTTCGTTATTTGCTCACATGTTCCCTTTATGGTTAATCTCAGGATCCATTTGTGTTGTTTGAAGCCACTTCTTCATCTGTGAGGAGATTCACTACCGTATAGAAGAACTGATATTATGTAACAGTTTAGTCGTTCTTTTATAGGCATACTCTAATGAAAATAAACGAGGTTTACATGAAATTTTATTCAGCTATAACTTAATTCTGGTAAGGAACAGAGGGGAGCTTATTATTTTATAACGGGTCTAAGAGGAGACAAGTACGGTTACCTTCTACCACACATAACAAAATAAATAAAGAGTTAATGACCTTGACTACAGAAAAGCATCGGGAAAGTCAATGGCTAATTATATTGTAGAACACATTGAATCCGAACCGACACAGAATTAGTTTTACATATAATACTGGGGGATAATATGGATGAAACCTATGAGGAAAGAGAAAGAAAATGTGAAATAGGGCAAATAATTTAGAATCAGAAAAAAAGGGAACTGAAATATCTGGAGCAAATAAAGAGTCAACAATGAATTAACACCGAGCGAACATTGAAAAGACGAGAATTAAAAGAAAACTGTGACTGTGACTAACCTGGTAAATGTGTTTTATGTAATTAGCACACAGAGCGATGATAAAAGAAAGTTATGGTAAACCATCAAACAACGGATAAGAAGTTGTGGAGAACCACGATCGTCCACGTTCTCAAGGGAAATGGTACATAAAAGAAGGTTAACCACATTGGGTGTCTCAATATAGAGAGAAGATAATGCCAACTCTTTTCCCCATAACAAACTGATCACAACATATATTCAACCGTTAACAGTCATAAGGGATTTTTCAAGTGGAATCAATTAATTATTACACGCATTTTTTTTTCTTTTAACCATTAAAATTATATTATTCTTCTTAGTTTTTTTTTATTCACGAAGGCGTCTTTACATAAATATTACATGCCCGACAGAAACAGCGTCAATAACTTAAGAAATCTGTGTCCCATATTTCAACGCTTGCAATAGATTTTCCCTTTTATTTATGACAAAAGCAGAATTTTTCAACCGTGTAAAGTTTAGTCTTTTTACAATTAGGTTTATAAACTATTCTAGAATTATTAGAAAGGAACTGTCCAATATTATAGCAATTCTTGTCTTTAATAATAAATGTTTTTAAAACAACTGCTGCCCAATATATATATATATATATATATATATATATATATATATATATATATATATATATATATATATTGTGTTCATAAATACTTAGGGCTTGTTTGTTTTAGGCCATTGTTCTTTTCCTTATTTTCCATGATATTTTGGTGTGATTTTCTTTTTAATCTCTCAGATATGTTTAGAAAGACTTGTACTATTCGCGTATTTACTATTTGTAAATGATGTTTTGCGTGTTTACTTTGCTTCCATCTATATTTTTCTTCGTTATCTGCTGAATTTATTATGGCCTCGTATATAACATTGTTTTGCAAGCAATTGTGTAGTTTAAGTGACACTCGTTCTTTATTATGCAGTTACACGTGGGTTTAATTTGCTCAGGTAGTTTGTTGATTGTTTTCCTTTTGTGGTTTTTATCATTATTATTATTATTTGTGTGATATTTTCGTTACAACTGTGTTCTTGTCGGATATTTTATGGAGAGTGCTTAATGCGGGAAAGTGTTTATGTATATGGCTTTAATGAATATATTTTTACGTTTTTGTGGCTGAACCATATTATGTTTCGCTTCTTGATGGTATTTTATGCTGTATGTGAGTGAGTCCACTATCTTTTAGGACTGTTTTATAGTCTTCCTTAGCTTCGTTGAATATGGGTTTTTTTTTTTAAAGAATTGTCGGAAAGCCTGCGGTTAATGGATTGTGGCATCTGCTTGGTAAAGGATGTTGGGTTGTTGGAAGATGTGTGTATATACAGTGGGGTAGTTTATCATTGGGTTTTCTGTATGGGTTATAGGGTACTTTTTCTTAGGTTGAAGGTGACATCTAAACAATCCACTTCATTTAGGTTAGTTTTTATATCTATGACGAATTACGTATTTTTAAAATATTTATGAGTGTTTTTCTAGATTTTCTGTGTTTTCTTTATGATATTTTCTTAAGATTATGAGACCGTCGACACTGTAGAGTCATGTATCATTTATATCGATTATTTTCCTTAATTGGTGTAGCACATATATACCTAGGAGTTCGCACGTCTCAGCACCGTCAAAGCTTTCCATTGTAGCGTCAAAGATTAATTCTTTCGTTATCCATGTGTCTTCCTTGTTGAATAGTAATAGTTTCGGAAAGGAAAAAATGAAAATAAATAAATAAAATAAAGAAAAACACGTAAAATAAATAAACTAAGTAAATAATATAAAAATCAATAAACCACGTTCACCAAAATAGCAGTTAAAATAAATACAATAGACTAGCCTCAACGCAATAAAATACCCACGATGCATCATTTGCCTCTATATATAAAAAGTCGAGAAAAAAACAAAACACACATGGTCTGACGATTGCATTTAGTATGAAACCAACAGTTTAGCTTTAATGTCCACTTTTTTTATATATATATATATATATATATATATATATATATATATATATATATGACATTAGAGAGACGTTCTTGGCAAGGATTTTTGCGCCTTGCTGTTGTGGTAATTCATATTATCTTCGTCAGTGTTTATAATTGTGAATCTTTACTTTTGTCGTTCTTTCATTGTTTTTAGTTTTATTTCACGTTTCATTCCTTTTTGTTTTGTTGTTGCTGTTTTTGGTTCTTGTCTTTTCTTTTTTCCGGTGATTGTTTTGTTTTTTTCCCGCGTTGGCTTTGTTTTCTGGGTTACATAGGAAGAAAAGTCTGGCGATTTGAAACATTCTAAGCTGAATTGTAAGCAGCAGAAAGGGGAAACCAAGTGAAGAGAGCGGAAGAAGTGAGTCATGATGGTTTAAAAATAACGTGATGGTATAAAATGAGGAAACGAGTGAAAATGGAAAAGCGAAAAGAGAAGAAGAAAAAAAATAGCTGAATAAAAGAAAGAAGGAAAGAAAGAAGGCAGGATGGAAATGTATTGTAGAAAAAAATGAAGGAAAGAAAATAACGAATGGTAAAAAAAAAAATATCAAGCACGAAGAAAAGTGCGTAAAAGAGAGAAAAAATAGCTATGAAAATATAATGAAAAACAAAACATAGAACACATTTCGTGTTTCCGATGAAAGTAATGAACAAAGCAATTTCCTGATATGACAAAAAAGGTTGTAAAAAAGAAGAAAAACTTTAAACGTTGATAGAGGAAAATGTCATTAAAAGAAAATCCTAATAGAATTAAAGTAGAAAGCTGAGATCAAATAATTAAATACTGTACAAATTAAATAGAAAAAAAAAGAAAGAAAGAAGAGATGAAGTAAAATTGATTGAAAAAGTAACAAGAGATAACTGGTAAAGAAAAGAAAGAAGGAAAGAAAATAACGAAGAAAAGAAAGGAAAAATAAGATGCAATCAAAACGTATGTAAAACAAAAAGAAATATAAAGAAGCGTTGAAAAGAGAGAAAGAACGACTAAAAGGCTGAATGAACAATTTAAATAAAGAAACGGTGGAAGTGTAAATGAACAAAAGAAAAAAAGAAAGAGAGAAAGAAAAGTTGTGTGAACAGGTCTAAGAAAGAAAGAAAAAGAAAATAAAGAAATCAAAGAAAGAAAAAAGAGAGTAAAATGGAAGTAAGAAAAGGCGAAAGAAAGAAAGAATGCATAAAAGGCTTAATGAGAAAGTGAAAGAAAGAAAAAAGCAAAGATAAATGAACAAGTAACAAAAAGCAAGAAAGAGACAGAATGAGAAATGGTGAATGAACGAGTAAAAACGAAAGAAAGAAAATAATAACCAAAGGAAAGAAACAAACAAACAAACGAACAAAGAATGAACGAAAAAGGGAAAGAAAGAAGGTGAAAAAAAGAAAAGTAAAGGAAAGAAATAGAGAAAGAAAAGCAGAAAAGATGAACGAACTGCAAAATGAAAGAAAAAAGTTACTGAACAAAAAAAAAAAAAAGAAAAATAGTGAATGAAAATTGAAAAATAAAAAGAATACAGAAAAGAAAATACGGTAAAAATTGAAATGACAAAAGTGAATGAGAGATGAAGACGGCAAAAAAGAAAGAAACGAATATGAAATAAAGAAAGAAATGGGGAAAAAAATTATGAAATGACGATAAAAAGACAAAAGAGATAGGAAAAAAAAAGATTTAAAGGTAAGATATGAATGACGAAAAAAGAGGGATAGAGAAGAAAATGCAAATAAAAAAAAAAAAGGAAAGACACCATAAAGGAATAAAAGCGGAAAAAAGCAGATAAATACTCGGAAAGCCAAAACATTAAAATCTACTATTCGCTTATCATCCAAGGACGGATCTAATGAATATAATAGCTGTTTAGAAGCATTAAATAATTTCTTGAGAAATCAATTAAATGTAAGTCAGTTTTCGCAGGGAAAATCGTAAATAAAACGTTTTCTTTCTTTGCTCGTAATGAGCTTTACTGTGAGAGAAAATTGAAAAGATGCTGAAAAGTGGGCAACAATATAAACATAATTCTTCATTGCAATTTGACAAACAGATGCAAAACACCTGGCAATCAACGAGAAAAGAAACGTCAATTTTTTTCTAATTTCAGACACAACATTTCTCCTTGGATCGATATTTCAATATTGAATGCGAATCAACATATATGAAGAAATTTTACCTTAAGAAATTATTAGCCAAACAATTAGAGTATATATATATATATATATATATATATATATATATATATACACACACACATATATATATATATATATATATATATATATATATATATATATATATATATATATATATATGCATATATGTCAGGGGAGGGAGAGAGAGAAACTGAGATATAAATAATTATATACAGAGAAAGAAAATGATTAATACATATGTATATGTCAATCTGTTATTATTTTGGTTTCTTCCTTTTTTTATCTATCTATCTATCTATCTATCTATCTATCTATCTATCTATCTATTTATTACTACATCTATCAGTCAGTTCATATCTATCCATTTATAGATCTCAGTTTATTCTTATATGCCTATATTCTTATTTGCTTAGCTGAGAATTAATGCCTCCTTTCCACCCTTTCGTAATCATTTTCTCTTTCTGTATCTATCTATCTATCTACATATATATATATAGATGAAATAATGATAACATCTATTGATATACTCAGTAGATATATTCAATATACATGTACATATATATACACACACACGCACATACATATATATATATATATATATATATATATATATATATATATATATATATATATATTCTCCATTGATTACTTTTCTATTCCTCTCATATTTCTTATACTCCATATACATATATATATATTCCTCTCATATTTCTTACACAAACTCACACACACACACAAACACACACACACACACACACACACATATATATATATATATATATATATATATATATATATATATATATATATGTATATATGAAAAGTGTATATAAATATAAATAAGTATATATATATATAATTATTTATATATTATATGCATGGTACTTATTAGAGAGCGCTCAATATCAGAGATAGAGCTAACATATTTGGTTGGATAGATGTGAGTTTGTGACCCTGGGTTTCACGCTTTAGCGATCGTCAGACAAACACTAACTGACGATCGCTAAAGGTGAAACCCAGGGTCACAAACTCACATCTATCCAACTATATATATATATATATATATATATATATATATATATATATATATATATATATATATATTGATCAGAGAGAAAATAATTCAGTATGACCAAAAGTTTTGAGGAGGCCTTGATCCCAGGGTCGTCCACAATAAATTTGTACGCTGGCTCTTACAATATTTCACAATATCCTGGCAGATATTCTATTATCAAAATGTGGGATATCTAATAAACAAACGGGGGAGAAACAAAAAGAAAAACAATGGAAATGAAATCAGCGAGATTATATACAAAAAAATAAATATAAAATATTTTTCCACATTGTCATAATTTTTGTCACACCCCATATTGTTCTTGATATATAAAAATGTATATGGTGTTATCTCATAGATATATATAAATATAGATAGACAGTATATTTAGGTAGAAAGAATTCATTTATGTAAGCTTTGTTAAATTCAACCGATAATATCTTTCTGTTTCATATATATATATATATATATATATATTCTGTTTATATATATATATATATATATATATATATATATATATATATATAAAACAGAATATATCTCCATCTATAAAAGGCAGGATGTGTGTGTGCGTGTGTGTAACGAATGCACGGCACCAATTTTCGATGGATTTGCACCAAAATTTACATGCACATACTCCAAGTTAGCGGGAAGGCCAAGACCGACTTTGCATTTCCCAACTCCCATCGATAGTTGAAATAATCGATTTTTTCATGCTTCTACGACAGTTTTCATGTAGTTTGCGGCTATTTTCTACTGGTCAGCGTGAGAGCCAACAGCTGACTGACACGAATGTTAACTAGCATGCTAGCATGCAATAAAAATCAATAGCTACATTCGTCACAAGTGGGAAAAATTTAAATCTGCATGGCACTTTACTCCAATTGTCTCATTCGCTTGCTTAAACTCAACGTTGATTCTGATTCCGCAGAACTGGTTTGGGTGTGAAAAAGTATTTGTTGTAAACATTCTTTTTTCATTCGATTTTTCCACTTGTTTAAAGCTGATGGTTTTGTGTTCATTTTGTTTAGTTCTTTTTTCGTAACAGATTTAATGTTTAGTATAGAGCTTAGAAAAAATTCGCAGTGCGAGATAGGCAAGAAGTAAAGCATGTAGCAACATCAGCACGGCAAAGGGCACTCCTTTAAAGGCAAAGAAGGGCAAAAATATTTTAAGTCAAGTGATAGCGATTGCCGTATGAGTCGTACGATTTTTGAATCAAGCACGGCAGCGCCGGGTCATGCTGCTAGTATATATATATATATATATATATATATATATATATATATATATATATATATATATATATATATATTAGGCAGCAGTTGTTTTTAAAACATTTATTATTAAAGACAAGATTTGCTATAATATTGGACAATTCCTTTCTAATAATTCTAGAATAGTTTATAAACCTAATTGTAAAAAGACTAAACTTTACACGGTTGAAAGTTCTGCTTTTGTCATAAATAAAAGAGAAAATCTATTGCAAGCGTTGAAATATGGGACACAGATTTCTTAAGTTATTGACGCTGTTTCTGTCGGGCATGTAATATTCATGTAAAGACGCTTTCGTGAATAAAAAAAACCCTGACTAAGAAGAATAATATAATTTTAATGGTTAAAAGAAAAAAAAATGCGTGAGATAATTAATTGATTCCACTTGAAAAATCCCTTATGACTGTTAACGGTTGAATATATGTTGTGATCAGTTTGTTATGGGGAAAAGAGTTGGCATTATCTTCTCTCTATATTGAGACACCCAATGAGGTTAACCTTCTTTTATGTACCATTTCCCTTGAGAACGTGGACGATCGTGGTTCTCCACAACTTCTTATCCGTTGTTTGATGGTTTACCATAACTTTTTTTTATCATCGCTCTGTGTGCTAATTACATAAAAACACATTTACCAGGTTAGTCACAGTCACAGTTTTTTTTAATTTCGTCTTTTTCAATGTTCGCTCGGTGTTAATTCATTGTTGACTCTTTATTTGCTCCAGATATTTCAGTTCCCTTTTTTTCTGATTCTAAATTATTTGCCCTATTTCACATTTTCTTTCTCTTTCCTCATAGGTTTCATCCATATTATCCCCCAGTATTAGCTGTAAAACTAATTCTGTGTCGGTTCGGATTCAATGTGTTCTACACCGTAATTTATTAGTCATTAGCCTTCACGATAATTTTCTGGATTGATTGTCATTGATACACCATTTCATTTATTTTCTTGTGTGCGCTGAAAGTTGAGTTATAGTTGAATAAATCTTCATGTAAAGCTCCTACCTCGTTTGTTTTTTTTATTACAGTATGCTTATAAAAGAACGACTAAACTGTTACGTAATATCAGTCCTCCTATACGGCAGTGAATCTTCTTACAGATGAAGAAGTGTCTTCAAACAACAGTAATGGATGCTGTGAATAACATGTGAGCAAAGGACAAAGTTTGGGGAAAAATAGAAAAAAAAAGGACACTTAAACATCATAAAGAAACAAATGAAATCTCTAGGGTACATATTGAGGAAAGAGGGCCTGGAAAATTTTATACTCACAGGAAATAGAAAAACAAGGAATAACTGTGGCGAGGAGGGGAAATCACCTACCCACCAAAAGAGATCGTGTCTTGTGCCGAAAAAAATCCAAGGTAATTACTGCCTCACAAATAGCACTTTTTTTTTACCCTCCCAGACTACAGCGATCAATCGAAAAAAATCACCTTCTCAGTAAACGAAAAAGGCATATTTTTGATTCAAGAGCGAGAGTGAGTTCGCTCTGTTAGAATCTGTGAGTTCTATTTTGCCTCTTGGAATTGTGATTTCGAAACTACTCGTCGTTTATACCTTTTGGAATGGTAAGACTGGATTTGGACCTTTTTACGACCCTTGTTGTTTGGGACGTTTAACAGATTCAATAGCCTACCTAGTGAGCTTTGATAAATGGATTGCAGAACAAGGTTTACAAAATATAACAAAACGACCAAATTTAATAAGAGAACTACAAAGAATAGAAAACTGTGGTGAGCCATGATCACCAACGCCCTGAAGGGACAGGGCACATAGAAGAAGAAGAAGAAGAAGAAGAAGAAGAAGAAGAAGAAGAAGAAGAAGAAGAAGGTTCAGTTTCAGCTAGGCTGTTTCTGTCTTTCTCTCTTGCATCCAATATGTCCTGTGAGTGTTAAATTTTCCAAGCACTCATTCTTTATTCTAGGCCCCAGAAAGTTCAACTCTCACCTTCTGATTGTATGTATAAGTGTTCTTCGGGTTGCCATGTTCTTTAAAACCCTCTTTTTGTTTCAATACATGACATGCTCACCATCCTTCTGTAGAACCAAATATATTTTATTTCAAGTCTCTTCTTCACCTGTGAGAAAATTGTCTAGCATTCACTGCCATATAGGTGATCAGATATGACATCGCATTTCAGCACACTTTTCTCTCGAACGAAAACATCAAATCGCATACAAGACTTGCTTGTCAACCATCACAAAACAGCAGGCGATCTTTGATTAAACACTGGGTCTCGTACGACCACCGAAGTTAAGCAACATCGATCCTGGTCAGTACCTAGGTGGGTAATCCATTGGGAATACCAGATGTATTATTGGATGTGATGGTGGTGTAATCGATAACGTCGGGTATGTTTAATGGTGACGGGATGTGCGTTGTTGTGTAGTAATGGATATCAGCTTTAGAATGAGAAATCGGAGAACACAAGTCAGAATTCCAGTCGGGTTTTTTGTTACATTCACTTATGTGCAAAATTTGGTGAATCCATCTCTTCTCCCTCCAGCTATGGATTGAATAGCAGGACAGACTGAGTCTTATAGCCTCGGCAATCTACTGTGGGGGGAAAAAATCTTCTGTCTAGTCAGTCATGAATCAAAAAAAAGAAAAAAGGAAGATGATTGCCCAAACAAAACCTGTATCATCACGTATAGCACTTTAACTGACTGGTCAGTGTCATGATATGAGTTACCTTCCCTGGATAGCCAGTTACTTCCATGAGGTCGCTTTGTTTTCAGGTCAGAGCGTTTTCCTCCCTTGTAAGCATAACATGTCTTGTCGTTCTCTCTTGTTCTTTACTGTTATTTCTATTAACAAATACCATGACAGTCAGTACGAGAACCATAACAAAGATAAAACAAATTTTTGAAAGGAGACTTTAAACTCTCCTCATTTAAAAGATTGGGGCAAGTTTTTTTTTCTAACATCCTGTTTGACTCTATTAGAAACTTAGTAAATACACAGTAACTTAAATCTTTCCAATGTGTCTGTTATTACATCTAAAATAAATATATATATATATATATATATATATATATATATATATATATATATATATATTTATGGTTATAATGAGGATTTGTTTTAGTGTATATATTATATTTTATTCTTCATATTTTTGCTACACGAATTCCCGGTCTCGTGACCTTCTTCAGGCAGATAAAAGGAATACATTTTTAAAGGAATAAATACATCTTGTTTCAACGTTCAAAAATTAACGTTTCTTCAGGTAGGAAATCACGATTCTACTAAATTATTTTATACCGAAATACAGTTAACGAAACACATCTTACGATTATATCTTTGGAAAATTTCCCATAAAAGATAAAAAGAATTTACATATGGAGAAAAAAAAAAGCTAAATGATTAATAACAGCGATAGAGAGAAGAGAAATAATATATATACATATATATATATATATATTAGGATTTTCCATATGTAAAAAAAATATCTCAGATTATTTTTTTAGAGCAGACCTTTTTTTCTAATCTTTTCCTCTTGATGAAATTCATTTTGGAGTTGAAGTTGCTATTTTTATTCTAAAGGACATTATTCAGTTTTGTTTATATTTTTATATACTCATTAAATATAAATGAATAACAATAATAAAAAAAAAAACAAGAGATAAAATTGGTTATTCCTGTATGACTAGTTTTTCTACACTCCCTTTCTAAAAGTTTTGTTTGTGATATAATGGTCAACAGCTCAATCGGAAAGCCGGGTTCGAATTCCAGTCAAGTTAGTTGCATTCACTTACGATCAAATACCCTTGGGAAAGGTATGAATCCATCTCTTCTCTCCCAGCTTTGGACTGAATAGCAAGACAGACTATGTCCTTTAGCCTTGGTTGGCAACCAGTCTACTGCAGAATGAAACTGTAGCCTAATAGCTATGAATCGAAAGAGACATGATTGCCCAAACGTGTATCATGTGTGGCATTTAACTGACTTTTCAACAATCCAGTACTTTCTCCCATAATTTCTTAGAATCTAAAAATAATTCATGGCTTTAATTAACCTGCAAACGGTTGATAAGCCGTAAAAAAAATCAATCTAGATTTCTCCTAGGTAACGTTTGCCTGTGTATTGTGATGTCTTTGTTATGGAAAACAGATTGCTTGATCTGAAAAAAGAAAATCTTTTTGTAAAGCATTTGAAAAAGGAACACAAGATGCACTCCGGATAATTTCAGTTTTGTTTATCTATTCCACGATCGGCGCCATGCAGTTACTTCACGTGAGAGAAAGCAAACAGACAGCTTCATAAAACTAACAAATTAGAAAAATCGTACCATTTTAACGGGTAAAGGAAAATAGCATATGATAATTAATTGTTACCACTTGAAAATCCCTTAATTAGTTGATTTGGTAATTAACAATCAAATCATCTTTTTTCCTTTTATTTGGCTTACTATAGGGATTTCTTTTTTGAAGCCCTTTTTTATTATTTTTACCTTTATCAGCTGTTTTCCATATTTGAGGAACTTCCGTTTCGTTTTCATCGTCACATCCTTGTATTCTCCACATAAATGACTGACCGCTCATTGATAAGGGTTTTCCGCAATATATCGTCGAAATGCACCATTAAATAGCACATACTGAGAATCGCACTGACTACTTTTCAATGCACAGTGTCCCTTCAGGTGGCGTTAATCACAGCCCTCCACAACTTTCTTTTAGATGTTACTTTAAGCAACATTTGACTCTTTAGCATAACGTTTTGTCCCATTCTGTTATCCATCTAAGCTCATTATATAGGTCCACGGTATTCTTAGTATTATGAAAAAAAACTACTTTTATGTCGGTTGTGGGTGACTGCAATCTACACAGTAATTGGATTTGGTAGCATTGGATTTCCACGATAATTTTCTTTAGTCAGAGTCATTTTGGCAACTTCTTTTTAATCAGTTCACCCCAAGCAAGGCAATAATGTCACTAAGATGCTGTTATGGAGTGATTTCACAGTGGAAGATTGTATTTGTACTAGGTCGGTCCTAAAATAGGTTCGACGTACAAAACGTTAGGAACTTGATATAATTGGTATAACGCAGAGTAATCTTGTGGTCGCTGATACTTTAGTATCCGACTAACTGTCGTCCGACATCGACTGACTGACCAACGCACTGAGCCCTCACTCGTTACTATTACTACTCGGAGCGCAAGAGAACGAAAAAGATTTTAGAAGGAACAGGAAATACAATCCTAATCAGGAAAAATGGGATAAACCTCTACTCCTGTTCAAATGACTGGGGAAAAGTGTGGAGCGGACGTTAAGCACACCTGTGAACACGACTAATCAGTTTCAGCTAGGTAACTGAAGGTAAGCTACTTGTTTCTCTCTGACCATCCATCATTCAATATGTCTTATGCGTGTTACATTTTCCAAGTCTTCATTCTTTATGTTTCTTGAAATATCAACTGTTTTTTGTTGGTTTTTTTTTTTCGATTTTAAATATGTGTCCGTCTAATTTCTTTTTATTTTTCAGAACGTAATCACGTGTTCTTTCCGTATGATCAGTATCTGCGTGTAAAACTGCGTCTCTGTTGCTATGAGTCTGTTCTTCATCCATAAGGAAATTCTCCAGCATTGAGTAACAATTCAGAATACAATTCTTTTATTCGAAAAAAAAATTCGCTGTTTCGATACACGACTGAAGGAATTCTTTCGCTATGCCCTCGGGCATGCGCGTTCAGATCTCTGTAATCTTTTGTTACGAAACTGCTTCCTGTAGCTGCTTGATTCTAGTGGTACCAATTTGAAGTTCACATCTTAAGCTGTCTCCCTTGCTTTTGTCCATACTTTCCGTCTTCTTACATAGAATTAACCCTTTCTTCTCTGTTTCCTTTACTACTTTTCCAAGTTCTTCTATTTTCAGGCAAATCCCCAAGTGTTCATATGTTCTGGCAGCAAGACCTCTGATCGGATGATTGGAGGTTTGGAAGAACGTGGAACCACCCCTTCTGTTGTTCCCAGATCCACCCTGAAACTAGATGGTAGCACCTGTTAGCTGTGGGAAAATAGTGAACCCTCAAGTATAAAAAATGCATTCTATAGTGAAAATACCAGCAACAGATGTTTTATAGAAAAACAGCAAAAATAGATATTTATAGTAAAATTACCAACAATATATTTTATAGCAAAATGATAAATTGTGTTCAAAATATATTTAGTTGAAGCCATAAAATTGTGTTTAAAATATTTAGATTTCGGCATTAAATAACCTATAGAGATATTGATATACCTCTAACTAAAATCAATTAACCAATGTGCCCATGTGTACTCAAATAGACTGGCCTAGATTAGTAACCTTTGAATAAAAGAATCCAGTCTGTCTGTCTGTCTGTTTAGCTATCTATCTCAGTCTGTTTTATCTATCTTCTTTTTTCTTTACAGTGAGGTTTACCCTGTACAAGAGCCAAAAGCCAAAAGCCACTCAAGGTAGAGGGTTGCATATTAAGAAACACTTTTTATGTGGATGTGGGGGACCATAGTTAACCCTAGATTTGAACTGGCTAAGATTGTAGTGATAGGGAAAACATCCTATTGGGACTTGATTACACAGAGCAGTGGTTCGCGGGAAGAAACTGCTCTAGTGAAACTTACTTCTCACTAATGGAATACGAAGGGAATGAGGGTGATTCACAAGAATGCACGTAAAAAGGAGGGCCCTAGCTGTGAAGGTTAGAACTTGTGGAACTAATGAAAGTAGTTCGTCTGAGCACTTCCTATAAAATTAGTGATAGAGCAATGAGAGGCTTGCGACCATTCGTCTGGTTGCAGGGTGTAAAATAATTTATAAGTCTCAAGGACCTGAAAACGTTATCGGTCTCTCGAGAGACTGGAAAGTGGTGATTCCTGCTTAAATGACAGCAGTACGACATTTTAGGCCTGGGATGGCTCTTGTAAACGTAGAGAATACCTCAGGTATTAGTATTTACTACGACAGTTTAAGTATGGTACAAGTGTATATATTATTCAGTGAAAATAGAACATATTACAGTAGTAACAATTCAATCAAAAATTCTCGTAAGATCGTGGAATTAGAACATACACCAATATACATACGAGCATTACAATGATTGTCTCTAAACATAAACAATAACGAATCCAATGATAAAGAAAAAAAACTATTATAAAGGTAGACGTATAATGCAGAATGGGTGACATTGAGGCTCAGTTTTTGAAAATAGCGTACCCTCTTCCCGAATTTAGAAACAATTTTCTAAATTTCTTGAAGGAAGTATGGAATCAAAAGTGCTTCCCAAAAGGTGATGTCTGCTGCTCATTAATGCACTATTGAAACAAAAATTTT